GGACCTTGAACCGTTTGGTTCCCATTGAAGTCCATTATATGGAGAAAAATGCTGGAATGTTTTCATCAAAAACCTTAATTTCTTTTCGACTGAAGAAAGAAAGACATGGATATCTTGGATGACATGGGGGTGAGTAAATTATCAGCAAAAGTTTTTTCAAAAGTGAACTACTCCTTTAATATTTTTGTTTCTGGATTCTTTGATGAAAAGAACAGCATTTACTTGAAATAGACATTTTTGAAGCCTTACTGTGACATTTGATCAATTTAATGCACCCTTGCTGAATACATGCATTTATTAAAAAAATCTTGCTGGCTGCAAACTTTTGAACACTAGTGAATGTAGATAGTATGAAAGTGCCACCCTTGTACTAACCGATAGTGCCTTGTGGGGATTAACCCCGTTAATATATTATGATTTGGTGGTGGATATACAGGACATGTAAATGCTATGTTGTGGTAAATGTAATATCACAAAATGCAATGTTATAAACATTACCTAATACTAGGCTCATGACTTCACTGGACTACTAAAATTGAGCATTTTACACACACATTAGACTAAACAGCAAATGTGGCCATATTGATTTTTGAGATAACTGCACACTTCTTGCCGATGCTGAACAGTGATGTGATAACATACCACAGTATTTATTGTTGCATACTACAGATTGTTTCACACTCTACTGCATAATAATATTGTTGTATGTGGCATGTCTAGACACTAATCATGTTAATGCTAATAAAAGCCACTAACCTAACCAAATAATGACACCGTTTTAAATCAAAACCGAATTTGTTTTATGATTGATGTTTGAAACATCAACACTCTCATTGAACTGAGCTCAATCAACATTGAACGGACTTTAGCTGAATGCTGATTTATAATAGGGGCACTGTATTGAATAAAGCACTATGCAAATGAATGTGACTTGACTTGCTTCATATGCAGACTGTAGACTTACAGCAGCCAAGAGGCCTCATCTCAGCGTTCTGTGTGTACACCTGTGAGATGTCTGCAATGCGCTTGCACAGCATGTCTACTGGGATCTCATAGCCGTATTTATACTTCCAGTTAGCAGCTTCATATCGCGCCCTCTGCACCTGCGACCTGCTGTCAGCTTCAGAGAGAAACAGTATACATCACACATGGTGTAAATTAATACGCAGTTTAACATTTCACCAAACAAAAGGAGATTTTCCAAACCGAACACAAGCTGGACAATTGCTGTGTACAGAGATGAGTTTACCTGTCATGCCAGACATCACACAGCCAATGTTTTCTGTTATTCTGAATAGATGAGTGACAGTGGACTCATCGAGAAGCTTATCCTGGGTGATTAAAAGACAAAAGATTACATTAATATTGCTAATACAACAGCATTTGTTGCATAGTTAATGTGTTACATGGAGATATAAACATTTTTTATAAAAAGTTCAATACAAACAGACTCACTGGAACTTTCTTCTGAGTTATAACAACCGCACAGTCTTTCCCTCGAACAGCTAATGACGTAAGACCTCCCTGATTAATGGCCTTGAATGCATATTCTGTGGAAAATAATATGAACATTTTTTAACAATGATCATAAATTCTTTCTAAAATGCAAAGAAATGGTAAAATTCTCATTTTAACAACCAGATGTTTTTATTAGTAGAAAATGTATTCATGCGAGAAAAATAAATAAATTATATATATATATATATATATATATATATATATATATATATATATATATATATATATATATATATACTAGGGGTGTAACGGTACACAAAAATCACGGTTCGGTACGTACCTCGGTTTTAAAGTCACGGTTCGGTACGTTTTCGATACAGCAAAAAGAAAGAAATGCCAGAGAAATTTCCTATTTGTTTAAAGAAAAAATATTTTTAAATAAGTGTGAGTTTTCCTAGATCTTGAAACTTTCAGGTTTATAAATAAGGGTCATCTTTGAAGGATGAACAAATAATGTTTTGGTCATCACATTAAAAATAACATTTAAATATATATTTATTTATATAATATTTGAATTTTGAAGTGCTGAAAAAAAGATGTGTGAAGTACTTGAAAGCATTTCACCATTCCAGCCAAACTGGTTACAGTTAGTGTTACTATATTAAATCCATGGTGAATGTTGCTGGTCTGTGGATGAAAGTATTACTAGTTCATTCACGGCACAATGTTTCTCCTGGTTTCCATGACAGCGCTGTTTGATCTAATAGAGATCTACGGTTAATAACGGAGAAATGTGAATGCATCTCACTAGATCTCGCAGCGATGTTATTACCTCAGTGGCGAATTCAAATGTTTTCTTTACTGGATCTCTTAGCGCGGTGTGGTAACAGTGTTGCTTGATCGAGATCGGCTCGCGCTGCACAGTTGTTGCTGGTCCGAACTGATAAACGATCCGTGAAGCACATAACGAGGAGCGCAGTTTCGTTCTGCTTTCATTACCCTTGCCATTTGGATGTTGCGCAACGTTGTGTTGGCCGCGTCAGCACGAATTTTGCCGGCAAGAAAAATGGTCCAAGCAATCGTTCGGTTTGTATGCGTACCGAACCGGAAGCCTCGAACCGAAACGGTTCAATACGAATACATGTACCGTTACACCCCTAATATATACACACACACACACACACACACACAGTTATATGCACAATAAATAGGGGCAAGAACCTAGTTTTTACAGGTGAAAAAGTTTCACATGTGAACTGTATTAAATAAATCGCTGCATACATAATTGTTAACATTATGAAACCAAAAGTACATTTATCCATTGGTAAAAACAATGAGTGCAGATCATGTAAGTTAAGTGAACGCTAAAACGAAACGAGTATTGATAAACGTGTCAAAAATTGAATTAAGTTTAACAACATATTCCACTCATTCTCATTGTCATCCATTTTAAACAAATCCATGTTTAATGCTGCTGTAAATACAATAGCATGAGCTAAAGAAGGTGCAGAATGAACATGGTGCAAAATGACTGAGCATTTATTCTTTCGACCTGATAAAGACACATTTTCATCGATACGCACCGACTTGATAGAGTCTCCCCTCTGGGGAAAAGATGGTGATGTGTCGATCAAACCCCGCGCTCGAGCCTCGGGACATAATGCTAGAGATTTACTGTTTAATATTTCTAGTTTGTAAACAGATCTAAACCACAGCTCTTTCGTACACCGGAAATGATACAACCGGCTCCGGCATTCATATCCGGGTGAGATGTCATCATGACGCACCGCATGGGCCTTTGTGTGAAAAGCACTTGATATGAACAAGAACGGTTATAAAGCTACAAAAAAAGTTGATTACATTTTATTTTAGAATAATTTTATTAGGGGTTAAATGTGCGAGGTAATGAAAACCTGTAGTTCTGACATAGTGACCAAGGTTTAATTAAAGTAAGCACATAAGACTATCACGTGTAATCCTATGGCGTGGGATATTAACTCAATATTTAATTCAATATTACTAGTTTAAATAAAACTAACTATGGTATGTTCTGATAGACCAAAGCCACACATTTAGAAAAATAAAATGCTTTATTTATAATAGTCAGTGTTACTTTAGTACAACCAACTGAAAAGGGGGGTAAATAAATTGTAAAATGTAGGCTATCAATTTGAACACAAATAGGCTGTTTTGATTTATTGGGAAATAAACTCTCAGTGTAATAAATCACATTGAGAAATTATATTTTATGTTCTAGAATTTATGTTTTAACACTACGTGTTTGTAAAAACACCCGACATTGAAAAACACCCTTGTCCCGAGAACACAGTGCAAATTTTCAGTTGAAATCTATCTTTATAATATAGTTAAAACCTTGCTATACTAGAAACCTACATGGATAACACATAGAAAATATGTTGTGACAACAGAGCGTAATGAATGACCACATGAATTTCCCCTTGTGGGATAATAAAGTTTACCTTGACCTTGATATGCTATTGAAAATAAGCATTTATGTAATTAGACTTGAGATTCAGGTAGGCCTATAGTTACTTAGATAATACCAGTATAGCCCTTGTGATTTAAATATGGGTCTCTGAGGATTTTCATATGATTATACATTAGGAGCAGTAAACGTTAACTGCTAGTGCTACTAACAGAATACTACTAACAATAATTTTTATTACATTTATTTTTACTATATTGCTTATTTTAAGACTATTACACACAGAGACACTCACACACAAAGGTAAGGTAGGGGTGTGCCCGAAAGGTACACATTGCTACAACAGAAACTAACCACCTCACATCCTATCAAGGAGTTTGTAAAGACCTTTCAACACTCCCATTACTCAGTCTCCAAGATGCAGATAGCCACACTTGCCTCCAGAAGTAAAGCACCCCGTAACAAGACTGACCAACCTCCACGCTTGACTCAAGCAGGGATAGCGTTCTTCTGGTCATAACATAAGCCATTATTGTTTGTGCCAAGCATACTGCTGATCCATAGGTTCAAAATGTTTTGCAGGCCTATCAAAAAAATCATTAGCATATCCAAGCCAGCCTTTAATGTTCTCTTTCAAGAGTAGCTTGTTCAATGATTCTTTGTGTTCTATTTATAGTCTGCAATGTTTTTTCCTGTGTTCATCAGGTCATCAAGCAAGTCTTTGGCACTAAACTGAGGGTTTTTCACAGCTGCTTAGATCAAACATCTTATTCCCCTTGATAAAATTGATCTTTTTCCTCCAAGCCCTGGAAGGTTTGTAATGATATCATACGTTATAATCAAAGAAACGATGCTGCAAACTCTATCTCTAGGAACAATTAGTGTCCAGGAAACATGGATTTCGTCTCAGCTCTTTTGTCTCGGCCACATCTGCTACTTCAGCACATTCATGGGCGAAATGTATTCATACGTCAAAACTAAAGCTAATTAAGTGTTTTCATTAAGTTTCCAAAGGTTTAATCATGTTTTAAACATTGTACCTTATAATTCTAGTAAGTGATTTAAAAATGGCAATGATGAATAATTATGACATAGCTGTATTATGAAAAGAAATCACTTTAATATGCCACTATGTGTTTAGAAAAAGCTTACATTTGTAAGGGTCTCTGTGGGGTTCATTTTTATTGTTGGTGTATATATAAAATAAAAGTAGTTAAATAGCAGAAGAAACACAATTGGACATTTTGCAAATTTGCATTTTTTTTAAATTGATTTTAATTTAAATTGATTTTAATGTATATTTTTCAGGCAGCACACTAGCAGTAACTCAAGCCTCAATGTTCTTGAGTAAGGCAAAGCCATTTCTGAGGAACTTCATATGTGGCTCTATCTCCATTCTCATCGTATGGAATGTGCCAGGAGCTGCCGGCGGTCTGAACAATGGTGTCATAAGCAGAGATCCTCTGAAAAACACAAAGTCATCAGTCACACTAATGATTACTAATGATTACACGATGTCTCTCCATTCCCAAACCTACCTGAAACCGAACCCTTTTTCCTGGGGCATAATTACTGATTACCAACTGATGTCCACGTTGCCACTTGAAGAAGAGGCGTCTGGTTGCTCTGTCTGGCAAGCAGGCTTTGTGATCCCTCATCAGATCACGACTAAGAAAGTTACAGTGAACGCCAGAGTGCAAAGCAGCATACAGCAGAAACGGGTCATCTTCAGACCTGTGGAAGTCATCCAAGAAAAACCATGCACTGGATCAAAAATACCTTTCATGCTTGATGAATGAAATCATTGTGAGGTTTATATTGAGTGACGGAGAAAAGGGAAGTGATCGGGTACATGTGTTACCAACACATTTGACTGAAACTGTTACAAAACAGTGAGGCATTCTAGAAAGCATGAGAAATGAACAGAACCTAGAAGGATTTCATAAGGAGCAGGATTTTGAGTGTTCTATACAGGCAGGATTGTCCATATGTCAATCAAATTTAGATCTGAGGAATTTGTTATAGTTATAGGAACTTAGTTGCAGGAGCCACTTGGATGGTTCCCCAAGAACACAATGTTCCCCAAAGGCCTTTTCCTGGTTACATTCGCACTGCCAGTAGGAACTTTTAAGTGATCTAAGCCACACATGTTGTGACTTTAATTTCAACGGTGTGGCTGATATTTATTGTGACGGCACTGAGAAACGGCAGAGCCCGAGCACACAGCACCCATTCTCTGTCTTCATTAGTTTACAATCTGTTTAACAGTCCGGTCTAATGCATTATTAGATAGAGCTGTTAAACAAAGAAAGTAAACCGTATATGAAAATGTATTAGCGTTTGCTGTGTTCTTGATGCTCAATTTCATTAGCTGAGCAGAAATAAAATAACGTTTCGCTTGGTTCCCTAAAGTTACGTTGGATTTTCTCCTTAGCGTAAAAGTTAAGAGGCCCATCTATCACTGTTTTCCATGTTCATAGAGTTTGTCTAGTACATGTATAGGCTATAAACTGTGTACACAGTGCTGGTGTTTCACAAGCATTCAGTATCATATGTGCTGGGTTAGAGCCTACTCTGGAGGAGGAGTTAATTTAGTTCCCCTAAAAGGCGTTCCTAGAACTAAAACCTGCCAAAAAGCAGGTATTTCCGCCATTGGTTCTAGAAACCATGGAGAGGTTCCTTCAGTGAGAAAAGCACCATTGTCATGAAGGGTTGTAAACATCTTTAATTAGGTGGAACGTCAGAGATGCTATGGCACCGTCATCTGACCATAAAAATGTGGCCCTTGTCTAAGTTGCTCAGGTGTTTACTCCTGCATCAAACATGTTTTCTACAAGAAATTGTAGTTTACTTGCATCTAATCTACCCAGACCTTGACATGTGGCCTTATTTGGAGACATTCAAATAAATCTGCTTATGAGTGGTCGTAATGTTTTGGCACGTCAGTGTATATACCAGAACTATTTTTATCAATACCGCCTTGGATGAATCGAGCTTTTCGCAATGTAATATGTGATTGCAGTCTCCAAAAAAAAATGATTTTTTTAGATGGAACTGTAACCATGATGGCATTTCAATAATATTAATAAATAAATTGATCAAAAAACAATAAAACAGCTATATTCTGGAAATGATTACAATTTAAAAGAACTGTTTCCTATTTTAATGCTTTAAAACGTAATTTATTGCTCTGTCATGTGATGATTTGCTGCTCAAGAAATATTTCTTATTATTATCAATGTAGAAAACAGTTGAGATGCTTATTTTTTTTTTTTTTTTTTTGCGGAAACTGATACTTTTTTTTTCCTTTGATGAATATAACGTTTGAAAGAACAGAATTTATTTGAATTTTTTAGAACATGTGACTTTACTCTCACTTCTGATCAATTTAATGCTTCCTTGCTGAATAAAAGTATTGATTTCTTACTGATGCGCCGGTGATCCCTTAAACTGATGCATGCGTAGGCAGTTTTGGAACTGGGTGTACAGTATGCGATTGAGGAAACGGGGGTCATACTGACATGTTCTCGGTGAAGAAGCAGTGGGATTTCTGCTTTATCTTGTTCATGTTTTGTCTGTCCCAGTTCCGGGAAGGTTGTAGCATGTGCTTTCTGCCGAGGACCAGGATGTTCAGACCCTGACGTTCCAACTCCGATACGACTGCCAGCAACTGAGGAGACAATTCACACTCTCAGTGACCTTTTACCATTTCCATTCAGATGTTAGAAATAAACAAGGTCATTCATGAGTTTTTAATGAATGAGAGACTTCAGTTCATTCATCAGTTACTCTATGAAATGAGCTGCGACTTGGTATTTTTTTTTTTAAAGGAATTTCCCATGGCACTAAAGATGAATTTGGGACCTTTAGTAGGTCAACTGCGGGAAAATTATTCTTGCTCACATTGTTATAGCCTACTTTAGTGCCACCCACTCACGCACACACACACACCAAGAGGGGGGAGTTTCCTGATTACACAGGAAGTTGTTTTTCCAATACCCCCTTACAAAGAGTGCGGTCAGTAAAGGTTAAAAACTCTGTGCTAAAAATATCTAAGGTTCTTTGCATGTAACAGTTTAGATTTAAGACCCCGTACACGCATGAACTATTCATGATATTATTTTTAATATATAAAATAAGTGTTTTTCTCACTCTTTCTTCCAGGAGATACAAAAGTCTTTTGCAGTCTGCGACATACATACATATGTCTGTATGTCGCTTTTAATTTTAAAGCATACTAAATGTATATTATTCATTTCGGTATTTAAAGATCACAATTAGTGCACAATTTCAAGTAGAAACTAAATTAGTACACAAGATTAGAACACTAGAACAGAAGTGAATTATAAGTATTAAATAAAATAATATATTGAAAATACTTAACGATTAACATTCACCATGGACCTAGTTGGTTAAAAGACAATGCAATTAAGAAGAGTAAGTTCTGCACACACACCCACACGCACATATAAGTGCATGTGTTTCAATTTGAAGCCCAATCAAAGTTGCAGCAAGGTTTATTAAAGTTAAAAGTTAAAGTTGGACACACACACACTCGACTCTACTGGATCAACCAGTTGACGTATTAACCTTCTAAATATATTTCATACTCAAATTTAGATACAGTAATATCAGTTTGAATATGCAAAGATAGTTCCAATGAACTCCAGTTTATCTTGTATCCCCGGTTTTGTTATTTTAGACACGAGGAAGTGCTAATTGGGGAATTGCAGGTGTAATTTTCAGCTAATTCATGATAAGGAAGTGGACTGTGAGCCACAGATGGGCTGGTTTACTCTGGAAAGCACCTTACACATGATAGTGTCCTGTTTCACAATCTAACTTTGACCTCTGCCTGTAATCACCTTTGCGTATTGAGTATTTCTAGGTAAAGAGAAACTCTTCCTTCTTAGTCTTGTAAATTTGAACTCACTATTTTCCCTATGCTTCTTGCATACAGTCCACTTACTTAACTTGTAAACAAAACATATAGTTATACTTTGGCCACAAGTTAACTGAGGGTCTCATTTTCACACCCAGCAGGCCCTGCTCAGACTGTGTGCAGACAAAACCGGTTAATACTAGCGTTTCATTGAATGTGCCAGTTAGCGAGGAAGTGGGGTAAATGTTACCACCAAAAATAAACTTGACCACAAAAGGCACATGTCTGACTTAAAATACAGACTTAGTCATATCAAAATGAGTGTAAAGTCCCCTGCCTTCGTGCTACAATTGCTATGGGGTATGTGTGTGTTAATGTGTGACGTGCGTCTGAGGAAAAAAAAAGTGCCAAAACCATGGATGAATGAGCAGAAAGGAAAAGGAAGTTTGTGTTACATCATAATTTGTAGCTTAATGTCAAGTGAAGCATTTAATTAGTTAATCATATCTGTTGTGACAAGATACTAAAGCGAAACCATTGTTTTTCATGCAGTGGTCAATTTTTAGATTGTGGGCTATTTTGCTTCCACGACACGTTTTATTTCAGACTTGTGAAAAGAAATGGCGATGGTGAAAAACTGTTTAACGGTCTAACTTCACAATTCAGCACTGTCTTTGTAATATGGTTTAGCAATACATTATAATAATATAGCAATTCTAATCATAATAAGCAATACAATACGTTTAGAGTGTTTTTATTTTTTAAGAATTGCCTTTACAGGGACTTTAACCATTTATTTTATTTCACTGCATCTATTTGAACCTGTAAATATCAACTACAATACATATCTTTAAACTCTAAATGAGCTGCACTGATCCAGAAATCTCCAGTTTAATACCACTTGCAACTTGCATACACCAAATGTAAAATCTGAAGGTTTTTACAGAAGGGATTCATATATCTCATTAATAATTTGTTTTATTTGTTGCATATTTCATGAAATAATGCCTGATTTGCATATTTAAACAACATTTCGGAAAGCTTCTAATGCCCAACAATTGTCTTAATGTTTTGGGGGGAAATGTTGTGAAATGATCCTCTATCTGCATTTTCAGGTCACTGGTTTTCAGTTAATGGGTGGTTGAGGGTGTGATGGGTGGGTGTGGGAGTTTTCTTATCTAAAACATCTAGCCTATTTGTAAGCAATACAAATCTCTTAGGTTCTATCATGAAGCAGCATAACCAAATGTAAAGCCACTACTGGGACTGATCACAGCCTTGTAGGAGGGCTGATGTGTAACATATTCTGTGTAACATTATGGACATTGAAATTTCCCTTTTTTCATTTGAGTAACTTTGTTGGGTTTTGTGGGTTTGAGGGTCTTTCAGGTTGGAAACTATGAGAAATTGGGGCTGTTCCCTAAATCTGTTTTATTGCGTTAAAAAGTAAGAAGCGACAACCACGCTCAGCCTCTTCCCCCCTGGTCGATCCTCTTGCACTCTTTTCTGTTTTCTTGACTTTAGCATGCTGACTGGTGAGTTGAACACTCAATCATAAGATAGCCTTCCCACCTTTAGTGCTTTAAATCAGAGTAGGTTGGCTGTTTAGCCAGTTAAGCGATTTAAAAGGTCACCTATAAACCACAGAGAAACTGGCCCAGACTTGGAACATCCAAGCAGTTAAAGTGACCCGTCACTCACCGTCTCAGAGTGGGTGGCCTTGGGTGTAGTGTTAGCCACATTAAGACCGTCGATGACAATATCAAAGGGAGGCCTCTGCTTCACGAAAGCTTTAAAGCATTTAAGCTCCTGTACAGAACACAAACAAGTGGTTATTCTCATAACCTTGATCTCAGTGAATATACTGTCAAATAGACTGCTATAGACAATATGCACAGTTCTGAAAAAAAGTCACAATCTTGCAGTTTAGTAAAAATCTGTTGAAGCTTCATACATTGCAAAATTGAATGTTGTTTATTCTGAAGCTAAAAGTAGCCACACTTTTAAAGTCCATGCAAGCAAAGAAACAAAAGGGGCAGTACAGATGCAACACTATACACTCTTATAACAGGTTTTCAAGAACAGCAACGGATGGTTGCCTGGATGGAAGGGGGTCTTCTATGTAAATTACCTCACTTTGGTGTTGTGCAGCACATTGCACAAGAGAAACAAAACCGGTGTTGCACAAGACTATAGGAGGACAGCTGAAAACATTTATGTAACTACAGTACAGCCATCAAGCCAGTGTTGTTATTGTTAACTAAAACTAATATAAAAAATTGTGTTTGTTAAATGAAAGCTAAATAGAAATTGGAAGCAGAACTGTTGCCTTGATAATGAACTGAAATGAAAGTTATAAAAAAAAATACTAAAAAATGACAAACGCAACAAAATACCAAAAACTTAAATTAAAATTTAAAAAAAAAAGCTAATAAAAAATGTAAAAAAACCCCGTTATAATAGTATATAAATAATACTAAAATAAGATAATCAAAATAAATTAAAGCTAAATAGAACTATTCAAAATTAATAAAAATTACATTTAGACTACAATTAAATGAAATGATAATTACAATATGAATATGTTATGTTTAGAATTATTAATATACTATTACAATGCACCAAATGATGATTTTAGCCTTCTATAACAGATGAGGAATCTTCTGTTTGACCAACAATGTTTATTTTTGCATAATTTCTGTTTTGTGATGCTATAGTGACACTGCACAGATATTACACGTTTCACCTTCAAACTAAAAATTGTTTCTGGAAAAATCACGAGGCCAGGCGGGTGACGTTTATTGCAGACAGACATATCATTGTAAGTGTCCCAGCCTGAAACTCATGAAACTCTACATATATTATCAGATTAAGTGAGGAACTGAGATATGTGCATTCATGAATGTACAGGAAGCATAAGAGCGAAGCATGCAAGCAACCATGAGATAAAGGAGTGTTTACTGATAGTCTGGCAAGAACTGAACATACTATTTTTTTTTCTGTCAGAGCATTGTAAAACTAAAACAACAACAACAACAACAACAACAACAACGCAATTGTCAATTCCATGAACCCATTTCATCCCAGGACCAAAGAATGCTAGACTTTTCCTATCTGTCTCGAGGGATATCAAAGCATGTGTTACAGTCAAACAATAGAACTTCAGACAGAACTTGACCACACCTGGCTCACCTTCAAAAGCGTGATCAGGTTGTGTTTAGCTGAATAACCGGAGAGCGTTAGAGGGGTGGGGGAATGGGGACTAGAACTAGAACTTCCTTCTCTTTTGTTGTTGTTTCAGAAGAGGCTGAAAAACCTCCACAATTGTCCTTGGTACAACATGTAAACAACTGAGGGAATTTCCAGCTGGATTAGGGCCAAGTCACTCCCTCACCTGTCTGTCCTCAGGCCTCGTGCTGCAGACGGGCTTTTGATATACTAAACATTTGCACAGTCATGTACTGTAAACTTACACCTAGCTCAACCTCAGTGGTGGTCAAAGTACACAAATACTGAGTTAAAGCACAACAAACCTTGATGAAATATTACACAAATAACAGTATTAAGTAATAGTTAGCATTAGTCAATAAAAAAAAAAAAGATTAGTGGATGCAGACATTAAAGGGATAGTTCAACCAAAAATTGTAATTATGTCTTCATTTACTGACCTTATGTTGTTTCAGTATTAATAAAGTATTAATTTCTTCTGCTGAACCCAAATTCTTTTGGGTGAACTATCCCTGCTTTAAATATGCATGATCCGCAATTAGGCAAACAAATCAACACTAAATATTCAACTTTCAGTATCCTCTCAAGTTCAAGTGAGTTCTTAGCTCAAGATCTGTAGGAATCCGATCTTTGTTGTATTGCTAAATTAAACAAAAACAAAACAAAAAAAACAAAAAAAAAACGATTAAAAATAATTGTTAATTTTAATAAAGCTGAAATAAAATGAAATATAAATATTAGATGTTATAAATATTAATATTAGATAAATATTAACAAAAATAAGAAATGTTGTCTTGGCAACTAAATGAAAAAAATATTGAGGTTAAAGTAGTACAATTACTAAAACTGAAATAAGAATAAATATGACAAACAAAATTGCTAAAACTCAAACTAAAATTAAAATGAATATGGACAATATAAAAAAATAATTAAATTATCAAAAAGTACTATAATACTAAATGATAATAAAATCAACACGGGGTGCTTCTCAATCAGAAGACTGCGTTCTCCCGGATGCCACGTCAACAAGCACCGCAGTCCGCATATATTTTGAACAATGAACTTAAGTTTAGTTATAGATCATTAGTTTAGGATCCAAATCTCACTATAAACTAGTTTTAGCATGCATATTACATTTTGGCTGTTTATTAGCACATATTAACGACTTATTCTGCATGACCATATTCTATATCCATACTCCCTTACTATTATAAAGCAGTAATTAGGAGTTTCCTGTTGTTCCCCAACGTTGTAGTTAATTGTTAGTAAATAGTGAGAATTTGACCCTAAACTAAAGTGTGACCTTGCATCGGAGCTCATTGCTTTGAGGTAACTGCAAACTTTGTTGAGGAAACAACCGTGCGGTAAAGTTTAGTTCAATAGCTAATTCACAAGCCTCTGTTTAATACACATATGTCTGTCAAAACCAACAACTATTCCTGGACTGTCAGGTGGCTGGAAACCAGCACTTTCAGTTCTGCCTGAGCCGTGAGAATTTTTCCCTCTAAAATTCAGATTCCCACCCCTCCAAGCCACCTATATGCAAAAACAGAAGATTGTTACCCACATTAAAAACCAAGACAACAAAAATAAGTGCAGCTACTTTGCATGCTAAATATCTTGTTAAGAGAGTGTTAAGTCTGTTCTAGCGGTTGAGAGAGAGAGGGTGCAAGAATGGGGGAGGGTTGAAGGCCAGAAAGAGGGGGGGAAGGGGAGCTGGATATTTGGGGAATTCCTTTTTGGTTTTGGTGGGGGTTAGCAGATGGTGATCAGTTGTTCAGCTCTCTAAAACTCTTGCAGCCTTGAGTAGGGTTAAGGTTCTCCGCATAGGGCAAAATTAATCCAAATATGCAATTTCACCTGATTTTAACTATGCACATTCAATAAAATTTTGACCATAAAGGTCTTGCATCGTATATGTTTTAGCTTTCGCTCCGCATCCACTCGTGGTCATGGAGAGGTTGGGTTGAATGGGAACAGGAACACTGGGGATTCCCCACTGGTGTCGAGAGGTCACGTGTGCAGTACCAGCATGCCGTACAGAACTCTGTGTACTTACGACGTGTGTGTTTAGTACAAGCACGTTCCTAAGTTTAATCCAGATTTGATAGTGACCAGTTTTTCTACTTGGAAAAGCCCATGACAAGCCTTGGAGTGATTCTTAACACAAACATTTAGCAAACTTTTGCTTGAATCATTAAAAACAAATGAATAGCATGTCTTTAATACCCTAAAGTACCTGCACCGTTTTGTTCAAAGCATGCATGAAATTCCAATTAAATGAAAGCCAGACACACAAAAATAGACGGAGAACAAAGAAATTTGAGTATGTGGAAACTTCCCCGTTCCCCACAGCAGACATTAATGAAAAGGCATCTGCAAGTCCTGTACTTTTCTTTATTACAGGCTTGCTCTTTTATGAAACGGGAAAAACAGGCTCCCCCAAAGCACACGCTTGACCTGAAAAGCTGCAGGCCACTGAATGTAATGAAACTAAACACAGGCTTTTTAACATTCAGCAATAAAAAATGGTTGAGATGCTATTTTTATGTGTTATTAACACTGTGGCCACATCTAAAATCCCCTGACAATTTAAGTTTCATATATTAAAACGTACTTTAATGTGTGTAGTGTGGGCGAATGGCACAGGTTAGTTGTCAAAACAAGCGAGAAAGGTTGACAAGGAGCAGCTAAATCTCAAAACTCTGTGGAATTTCCTGTTTAAAAAAAAAAAAAAACTGAGGAGAGTCTGCTGGCAAAAAGAGAACGTGACAAAGCTTGTAATAAAACGAGAATCAACATTGGCTTGGCTTTTCAGAGATGGCGAAATTTTGTAAAATTGACACAGAGATGTGTTTTTATTACTCAACAGATGATTGTTGATTATTGAACAGATAAATTGGCATACCGAGGGGGAAATACTTATTTGATACCCTGCTGGAAATGAAGGGTCTACAATTTTTATAGCTTTATTTTAATGGATAGAGACCAGTAATCCAGAAAAACACATTATATAAAGGTTGTAAATTGATTAGCATTTTATCGAGTGAAATAAGTATTTGATCCCCTAACAACCAGTAAGAATTCTTCCTCCTCCCACAGATTGGTTATGTGCCCATGTGGGACACAGATTAGTCCTGTAACTTTAGGAAAGTACTCCTAATGTCCTGATGTCTGTATGTCCCATTCCAACCTCTCCACCACCATGGGCAATAAAGAGCCTGCACAAGGCTGGAATGGGCTACAAGACCATCAGCAAGAAGCTTGGGGAGAAGGAGACTTGTTGGTTTGATTATTCGGAAATGGAAGAAGTACAACGAAAAATCAATGGCCGTTGGTCTGTAGCTCTATGCAAGATCTTGCCTCATGGGCTAAGGATGATCATGAGAAAGGTGAGGGATAAGCCCAGAACTACACTGGAGGACCTTTTTAATGGTCTCAAGGCAGTTGGGACCACAGTCACCAAGGAAACCATTGGTAACAACTAGGGATGTCACGATACCAAAATTCCAGTAGTCGGTACCGATACCGTTAAAATCTTTCGGTTCTCGGTACCATAGCAAAATCAAACTATTTTTCCAATTTAACTATTTGAAGAAAATATTATCAATTCAATGACTTTATTTGTGTGTGTATTATTATATGACGATAGTTTTTCTCAAACAAAATGGTAAAATGCTCATGAAGTGACTCTCGGAGATGAATGGAATCATGAATCTTATCATATCGTGAGGCAGCTGAGACTGAAAACAGCGTGAGCGTCACTCGTGTGTGAGGTAACGTTAAATGAAACCACGCATCTGCGCTGTTCATTCACACAAAGACAAGCAGAAGATGCAGCGTTAATATTTAGTGTTTTCAGCAGAGCCACCGGTCGCCTAGTCTTGGCGCTTTCATGAAGACGCCGCAACTGCACGCCCTTTGTGCATGCATGCGCATCCAGAACCGGGTTTGACCAGGTACTCGGTACCTACGATACTTGGTACCGTAACGTTTTAAATTTTTAGTATCGACTTGGTACCGAAGAACCGGATATTTTGACAACACTAACAACCTATGCCACAATGGATTGAATTCCTGCAGCGCCCGCAAGGTCCCCCCTGCTCAAGGCGGCACATGTTCAAGCCCATCTGAAGTTTGCCAATGAACATCTAAATATTCCAAGAAGGCTTAGGAGAAAGTGCTGTGTGTGGTCAGATGAGACCGAAATTGAGCTCTTTGGCATCAACTCAACTTGCCGTGTTTGGAGGAAGAGAAATGCTGACTATGACCCCAAGAACACCGTCCCTACAGTCAAGCACAAGCTGTTTCTCTGCTAAGGGTACAGGACGACTTCACCGTATCGAGGGGCCGATGGACGGGGCCATGTACTGTCAAATCTTGGACGAGAAGCTTCTTTCTTCAAGATGGGTCGTGGATGGGTGTAACGCTACTGTAGCGTCTTCAGAGTCAGCTTAAGATCCCTTTCATCTAAACTGGTTACATCTCTCAAACACAGAGCCGAAACACAACCAAAACAATGTTCTTGAGCAGCAAATCAGCATTAAGGCCAATTCACACAGCACACGATTGTCCGAGTCCGAATTGGCCTTTCGAATGATTTCTGAAGGATCATGTGACACTAAAGACTACAGCAATGGCTGCTGAAAATTCAGATTTGCCATCACAGATAAATGACTTCGTATTATAATTTAAAAAAAACTGTTATTTTGAACTCTAATAATATTTCACAGCTTTATTGTTTTTTTCTGTATTTTTGATTAAACAAATGCAGCCTTGGTGAGCATAAAAGATATCTTTAAAATCTTTTAAAAATAAAAATCATACCAACTCCAAATTTTTTAATATATTTTTTTTAATTCCCTGTACTCTCACATTTATATCACATTGAGGCCATCTATGCAACATTTAAAAGCTGTTAACATTTAAAATGTTGCTTTTGATGAAGTACAAGATGTCACAGAGCAGGACACGGATCTCATGTCATGTCAGCCACCCAAAAGCACCGTTTTTTTTCCTTTAAAGGCAAAATGATTGTCTAGGGGTTGTTAAATGCTTGTGGAGAGTTTAGACTGGGGGTGTTTTAACTGCCTTGCACTGGTTTCACTTCAGAAAGCACTGCTGCAGCGATGGCGGGGGGCTGGAGTCCATACAGCGCTGCAGACAGGGACTTTCCAGGGTCACTCATGTGAGAGGCTTTTGAGGGCTGAAATGTGAAAGCCCATTGTGTTGTGTTTTACAACAGCAAAAAGCACACAAGCAATACCCATGCCTCAGCATCAATCATGTGCATGACCAAAATTAGAGATTGTTTATGGCTATACTGAGTACTTTGTTTTTCCAAGATGTAGTGTATAAAAATGTCCCTTTCAGAGACAGTGCTTGGAAATGTAACGATTTTCCTATGCGTGAGAACGACGTTTGCAAACAAACATGACTGTTCTTTCTGGCAAATGGAATTTCAGAGTCGTCGCTCGCCTTGTGACCTTGTGTCTTCAGTTGGACTGCTTTCACGAGCTTGCTAAACCGGGGACCCGACAGACACATGAAGGAACATGTGTTGGAAAGCCCCTACATCATGGCTAAATGTGGAACTAGACAGGATCACATGATTTTGACATCTATAGACCCCACAGCCTGAAAAAAGCATCAGTCCGGACAACAACATCATCTAATTCAGGGCAAGACTCCACTTAATACGGAGCTCAAAACTGCATGGAACGTCTTCTAATTCTGGACGACTACACAACTTGCAGCCTATTTAGTGCCTGGCAGAAAGCTACTTTAGTTTTTAGCCTATGTCTGTGTTTTTATTATTATTTTATCCAAAACTTAAATAATCCAATAAGCATAATAATAATTAAAAAAACGTCTGATGTTCAACATGTATAACATGTTTAATCTGTCATATAGAAAACGCTATCGTATGTATAGGACGCTATCGCCATCTAGTGGTGTCAAACGGCACGGGATAATAAGACCTTTCTAAACTTCAAGCCACACTTCCTTTACATAAAGGGGAATTTCATACAAAAAACACAAGTCACATTTCACTGCATAATTGAAAAACACAAGAAAAAAAAATGTTTAGTATGAAGATAATTAATTTTTTTTTTCAGGCCATAATAATTATTTATGACATGATTGTCACTAAACTTAAGCATATTTACCCCTAAAGTTTAGCCCCCACATTTACCCCCCATTTATTATGAGAATGAAACCTTTGTGTGGGCTTATGTCAGTGCTATTTTAGTATTAATTATGTACTTCAATGCATTTATTAATATTTAGAAATTTAACTTTTACTTTTATATTTTCAGTTTCAACTTAAATTAAGAGCTTTTTAACAATTTTATTCATTTTTTATGAACCTTTAATTTATATTTATTTAAACATTTATTTTGACTCATTTTAGTACTTGAACTTGAGCTTCTTTATTTAGTTAGTTTCCAAGGCAACTTTTTTTTTAATTTTTGTTTTTCATTTAATATTCCATGACATTATTTTTAATAGTTTTAATTATCAATAAAAGCACTGGCTTAAATGTTGATTTTATCTATATATCTATAGATTAAATCAACATTGGTTAATTAACTCAGGCAAAAGAAGGGTATAATATAGCAGACAGACCTCTGGGGTAGTTTTGTTAAAGATGTCGCTTCCCTCTATCACTTTTTTCATCACTTCATCCTTCAGCTGAGCATACTCTTCCTCAGTCAGTTGAATGGATTCCAGTGATGCCTTGCAAGTTTTGCACTCTCCACTAAAACACAAGTTATATCCACACCAATACTCTATTAAGAATAGTCTTTATGATAATTGTATTTAAATAAAACTGAAAAATTAGTACCTGGGGGCGACGCATGAGAACTTCCCACTCCATTTCTGATCTGGTAAACTGTGCAGAAAAAAATAAATACAAATAAAACAGTTAAAATAAAGATCTACAATAATGGAAAGAAAAACATATACACATTATAATAATTATTATAACTAATATATAATATTAGTGCAGTCAAATGAAGTAATCGCGATTAATCGCCTGTAACACAAGTTTGTAAATATATAATGTGTGTATATATATATATATATATATATATATATATATATATTTGTGTGAGTGTATACATACACTATATATATATATATATATTAACAAACTCATTTTTTAATATATATTTTTTTATATATATTTTTATATATTAATATATATTTTTATATATTTGTGTTTATGCAATATGCATACATATATGGGTGTACACACACAAAATAATACATTTAAATCTAATATATATTTACACACATATTTAACCAAAAACGTTTGTTAGATGCGATTAATCACGATTCATTAATTTGACAGCACTAATAAATATATATATATATATAATTTTTTTTTTTTTTTTTTATTTACCTCTCAAACCAAGCTTTGATAGTTTTAATCAGCAGCACCTCTGGGTAGATCTGATTATCTCTCATATATGACAGGACAGAAAAGAGTTTGTCCTCCTGTCCACGCTGAGTGATGCCACTCTGAAACAGGCACTGCCAGGTGCTCTGATGAGATTCAATACCCTGTTCCAAAAGCTCGTCATACAGTTTCCAGCCCGTCTCAATGTCTCCATGAAGTACTGCCCCAGTGATGGCATCACCATAGTTCCGAGCAGACGGCAGGAGGGCCTTTTTCAGACCCTCCAATAAGCCAAGCGCCTCCCTCCAACGTTCAGTTTGACTGAAACCTTTAATAAACAGGGACGAGGCTCCAGTTTCAAGGGTCTTAAAGCAAGTTCTCATGATGTCGTAAGTGTCAAATACCTCAGAGTGGTGCCCAGCGGTGACACACAGCGTTAGATACCTCAAAAGGAGTTCGTAAGAAAGGGTGCCTTTGTCCTGAACCACATACGCCAAGAGAGATTTGGCGATGTTGACATCTGCATTAGCCGAAAGCAGTCTTTCCATCATTTGCATCTCGAAGCGCTCAGATTTGGAGGAACCCTCTTTGAGTTTTGCCCATTCTGATGTGGTCAGCGGATGGTCAGGAAGGGCAACTTTTAGATATCCTCTGCCGCTCGCAGGTGTATTATTTGACAGCTCTTCTGTATCAATCCCAGCCCGCTTTTTCATATATTCAGCAGTTTTTTTGGCTGTTCCAGCTGCGAATACTGACTTTGGGAATGCAGGCCTTGTTCTGGGAGTGAATCCTTTTTCTTTGGTAACTTGGCTGTATAATTCTGCTTGTTTGTCTCCTTTTGTGCTGTAAAGTTGTGTGTTTGGATTTATGATAAACCTGACAGCAAGCATGTTATGTTGTGGTAAACCAGCCAATGCAGGCCTTAAATACAGAGGGTTAACAACCCATGTGCATAGATGCTTCATGCAAGTTCTTGAATTTGACACAAGAGGTCCCATTTCCTAACAAGTCTTCTACTCAGACTATGCACTACTTTAATGGTTATGTATGTAAATGTCCCACCACAAACAAATGTGCAACATTAAGTTTTACTTATCAACACATATACAAAACACATTAACTTTTTTAATAATTATATTTACCTAAAATTAATATTTGTAAAAAAAAATATTCAGCAACTTATCTGTTAAATAAATGTCCTTCTGTATTTAAAGGACACAATAAAATATTGAAATCCTCAGATAGACAAACTCGCTAAGATATCGTATTATTTTCATTTAAACGCAATTAAGTCGAAGCAATCATCGGTATTTTAAACAAGAACATCAAACTTACAGAATCTAGACGAGGGTTTTTGAATTCTAACAAGAAAGCAAGTTCATGCCAGTGCGAGCAGGCAGCCATTCATGTGTTTGTGTTGTCGCACTTCAATTACGTCACTCGTGCGTGCGCCTTCTGCTCTGAGATGTAAACAGCAACCTCATAGCCTACTCGAACATTACAGTTTTGATTAATAATCATTTTTGAGCTGGTTAGTTTAAAACATATTCGGACCGAGTAAAGATAAGAATGGCAAACGACAAAATCGCACGTTGGAGAGATTTACTGCGAAAAAGACTCGCCTCTATGAAACAAGGTGAGATTATGATTTTAGCTAACTTAATCAGTAACTAGAAATTTATTGTAAGTTCAAAGAGATCATATTTATATATTAATTTTTATATAGAAATCTCCCAATCAATGAGTGTATCCATGTAAGGATTAAAAGTCGCTTGTGAAATAGTTAACGTAGCTTTACTTAAATAACGCCATGCTAGTATATTTGATGAACATTTTGTAGGTTTTAGACTAACGTTAGCAGCTATACTAAATATTATTTTAAGGAACTGACTTCATGTATGATGTAGTCGCCATTAGTTACAACAATTACTATAGTTTGTTGTATAGAAACCATAGTTACATAGGATAAATGAAAACCGCCTAATATGATTATATTACCATATGTAATTATAAAACACTGTAGTAAAAACTTTTGTGTTACTCAAAAGTTTAGTATGTTGTTGTTATCCAAATTACAACATAAATAGCATGGACATCCAAATGTATTACAAAGTAGGAATCACCCTGGTAATAATGGGCAGCAGTGTTGGTTAAAGTAATTAATTACTACTTAGTTACTAATTACATATTCTACAATGTATTTAGATTACTATACTAATTACTCTATGTAAAAGGTATTGGTTTACTTGTTGCTAATTACTTTATAAATCACACATTAACCTCGACCAGTTGACAGAACAATACAAAGATAGACACTAAACTGCAATAAACAAATACAATTGGATAAATTGAACTGACATGTTACATTAAAACATAAATGTTAATGCTAAATCCACTTTTTATACATATGTATATATATATATATATATATATATATATATATTTTTTGTTGTCTAAACAGTATTTAATGCAATTACATCAGACGTAACTCATTAAATGACAGAAAAATGAAGAGTAATACCTTTCAAGAGTAATACCTTTTAAAGGGAAAAGTAATACAATTACAGTAATTAGATTACTTAGTAATTAGTTACACCCAACAATGGTAATGAGGAGCCATCCATGGTTTTGCTCATGGTTACTATGATTTTACTATGAAACTAAGCTGGACATAAATATTCATGTTTAAACCCTAATTAAATACAGATGAGGATTGTACAGTATGAATAATCATAATGTGTGGGTTAATTGTATTGAACAGATGGCAAAACAGTGGAGGAGAAGAAAGCAGAGGAAACTGAACTGTTCACCAAGTATTACACTGAATGGAAAGGAGGCGAGAAAGCAGAAGTTGACTCATTTAAACAAATCCCACGCTTCTACTACAGGGTGGGTTGTTCTAGGTTTAATCAGTAATGAGAATACAATGTTGTCAGTGGTTGTGGTATATCATATTAAAAATATTACAATTATATCCATGTATCATAGTCTGACCTATCATAACAATGATAAATGTCTTGTCTTGAAGATATTAATTCGAGGGTCACTACTGCCTGAATCTGGCATAAAGTGCTTCACTTTTTCATATTGTTCATCAGCTCACATTACCGTTCAATGTCTTTACTGATCAATTTAATGTATTTTTGCTCAATATGAGTAGTAATTTCTTTAAAGTGCCCCTGTAGTCAATAATTGTATCCCTTAAAACTCATCTTTGATCACCAAAATGACATATTTAAAAGTTTTAACCGTAAACCATTTTTTTTCATGCCTTAAAATAGCATGAATGTAGCTCTACACCGTTGCCTCATTTAATATATACGCGGTTCTATGAATATGCAAGTTAACCCCGCCTCCGGGCACTCACACCAGTTTAGAGATCCACTTGTTGATGATCACAGGTTATTGTGATTGCACATGGTAGTTTGTGACGTCAGAACCACCAGTGATTTCAAACCGCGGTTTTGAGACTGTCTTTGTTTCACTGCAGCTTTAAATGGGGTTGACTTATGAATTTCCTCATGGTTTTTCTTATAGCACATTAAAAACACCACATAAACATATAAAATAACATTAAAAACTTGATTTTCACCACAGGGGGACTTTAAAACAATCTTACTGACCCCAAACTGTAGTGTGCTACCTTCTTAATCTTAACTTCATAATATTTCACCTCAGCTTCCTGCAGAAGATGAAGTCTTGCTGCAGAAACTCAGAGAAGAATCGAGGGCAGTGTTTCTCCAGAGGAAAAGCCGGGAACTATTGGACAATGAAGAGTTACAAGTGAGCATTGTGTTGGTTCCGTGTCCCAAGCGCAACATTCATAATCAGCTTTTGTTTAGTTATTAAATATCTCTGTGTTTTCTATTTCCTTTTCTAAATGTTTTTTTTTTTTCTTTCCTACAGAACCTTTGGTTTCTTCTCGATAAGCATCAAGTGCCGCCCACGACTGGTGACGAGGCCATGATCAGTTATGAGAGTTTCCTAAAGGTTGGAGAACAAGCAGGCGCCAAATGCAAGTAAGTGTGTCATTGAAAAGTGTACAGTGACCAATTAGTATCACTTGAAAACCATGAGTTTATGAGCTGATAACTGTATTCTAACTCAATGTAATTCGTAGGTGGATAAAGCTTATGACTCACTGAGATATTTGTTTCACAATAATTACACCCCCATCAGGCTTTTCTTCACTGCCAGAGTCTACGCCAAGCTACTTCATAATGATCCGTATGGGAGGATATCAATTATGCAGTTCTTCAACTATGTCATGAGAAAAGGTAGTTATAAATTCTGTGGTGTGTGTTAATTGCATTCTCGTCTGAAGACGGCAGTCTTTTAGATCTTTTATTTGATTCTGAACACTATAAAACAGATATGTAAATGAATCACGGTTTCTTCTCTGGCAGTGTGGCTGCACCAAACCAGGATTGGTTTGAGTCTCTATGATGTTGCAGGTCAGGGTTATCTTCGTGAGTCTGTAAGTAATCTCGTTTTACCCTCTACAATGCAAGTATTCACAATATCTTCTTAGAAGTTAAGCTGTTTTGTTTTAAAGTAAAGACTTCAGTTTGTGACTGTTTCTTTCTGCAGGATTTGGAGAACTACATCCTAGAGTTAATTCCCACACTCCCCCAACTAGATGGCCTGGAGAAATCCTTCTACTCGTTTTATGTTTGCACTGCCGTTCGCAAGTTCTTCTTCTTCCTTGATCCTCTACACACTGGTAATTCTCCTGTGGTCATGCTGTTTTTAAACATTCTGACTTTGCCTTTAAATTGAAGTCAGAGCACCTGCAGTCATCATTCAGATTTCACCCTGTGGAAAAAAACTGGAATGAAACGAATCGTTCTAATATTTTGTATATGCTCTGCAGGAAAGATTAAAATTCAGGACATCCTGGCTTGCAGTTTCTTGGATGACCTACTTGAGGTAGCGTACAGATTCTCACTCAAGTTAACCTATATTATACAATATACTGTACATATATAGTAATATCTATATACTCTCCTATTCACAAGTTTGGGGTTGGCTATCTGTCTGTCTCTGTCATTTTGTGTCTATCTATCTATCTATCTATCTATCTATCTATCTATCTATCTATCTATCTATCTATCTATCTATCTATCTATCTATCTATCTATCTATCTATCTATCTATCTATCTATCTATCTATCTATCTATCTACCTATCTACCTATCTACCTATCTGTCCGTCCGTCCGTCCGTCCGTCCGTCCGTCTGTCTGTCTGTCTCTCTGTCTGTCTGTCTGTCTATCTGTCTGTCTCTCTGTCTCTCCCTCCATCAATCCATAATCTAGTTAGCTAGCTATTTGAAAGTTTTCCTGTGCAATAGACCTGCAACATTAAGCTAATCAGATTTATTCATTTATAGCTTCGAGACGAGGAACTATCAAAGGAGAGTCAGGAGTCCAACTGGTTCTCTGCACCTTCTGCTCTTCGTGTTTATGGTATGCTTGCAAAATCAGTGTTAATCAGTGTTATAATATAATGTAAGTTATGCTAATCATCATTTTTCCCATTTACAGGACAGTACCTTAATCTGGATAAGGACCATAATGGGATGCTCAGTAAGGAAGAACTGTCTCGCTATGGCACCGGAACTCTAACTAGTGTTTTTCTAGACCGTGTCTACCAGGAATGCTTAACCTACGACGGTGAAATGGTATAACCTTTTGACTTAATTAATAATTTGCATCACAGCAAGAGTGTCCCTAAGACAAATGTCTGCTGTCAGAGTCACAGCTTGCGGCACAGTAGTGCTTCGGGATACATGGTTTTTGAAAGAAGTCTGTTATGCACACCAAGTATGCTTTTAAATACAGTACAAAAAATAGTATTGTGAAATATTATTACAATTTAACATAACATTTTTAAATTATTTTAATATATTTCAAATGTTTTTTATTCCTGTGATGGCAAAGCTGAATTTTCAGCATCATTACTCCAGTCTTCAGTGACACATGATCCTTTAGAAATCATTCTCATATGCTGATTTTCTGCTCAAGAAACATTTCTGATTATTATCAATATTGAAAAGTTTGTGTCGCTTAACATTGTTGTGGAAACCGTGATTCATTTCTTTTAAAAGAATCTTAATAAGACCACTGAGAAAAGGCACTTCATTTTTATTATCTGACATAAACATTTTCAGTTTCTAAAAACATAAACATGCATTTCTGTCGTTTTAATTTAGGACTATAAGACCTATCTAGACTTTGTGCTGGCTCTAGAAAACAGGAAAGAGCCTGCAGCCCTTCAGTATATTTTCAAACTGCTAGACATGGAAAACAAAGGCTATCTCAACGTATTCACCCTCAACTACTTCTTCAGGGTAAGTAGAGGTGTTGGTTAGCTTTTTTTGTTTTGTTTTATATATATATATATATATATATATATATATATATATATATATTTATATACATAAAAGAAGTAGAAACTAACCTACTCATCTTTGATATCAGGCTATTCAGGAACAAATGAAAATACATGGGCAGGAGCCAGTTTCCTTCCAGGATGTTAAGGTAAACTGCCTTAAGCTCTTCTTTTTCTATTTCACGTTGCTATATGATGACAATAATGTATTATAATTCACTTTTTTGTCTGTTGTCTACAGGATGAAATCTTTGATATGGTGAAGCCCAAAGATCCGTATAAGATCACATTACAGGACTTGGTGAACAGTGGTCAGGGTGATACCGTCACTAGTATCCTCATCGACCTCAATGGCTTCTGGACTTACGAGAACAGAGAGGTGTTGGTGGCTAATGACACTGACAGCAACACAGCCGATTTAGACGATACATGAAATCCCTCTGTATAGCCTAGTCAAGTTTTGCTATGGGACCCTAACCTTCAGCCAAGAGGAATACACAGAATAGCTCAGTTGTATATAGAATTGTTTATTAAGTAATGTTATGTACAAAACAAACTGTATTTTTTCACCTACATTATAGAAAGGTAGGTGTATTTTCACCTACATAATACAAAATTATTATACACAAATAAATTAAACAGTCTTCAAAATGAAAAGCATTTGTTTGTGTAAGGGGGGTAGAGAAATTGAATTCAAAAATCATGGGTAAAGCACAGATTTATAGCACACACAAAAAGCGTGTTCACATAGTAAATAATATTTAGTACGAAAAATAGCTGTTTGAAAGAGAGGGTCTACCCATCTGACCATTTACACTACCTTACACAACTCATCAGTAACATAGAAATTTCTAATATTACAACTAATGTCTCAGCATCTTGTTCAATCCATGCAGTTTTTAATGTGTTTGGCAGACTTCTTAGGGGTTTATCATTATTAAAACGTACAATGAATTGTTGTAGTGACTAAAAGAGGATTTATGTATGGCTTTATAAACTGATTGCTAAAATAGTTCTGCGTTCAAAGCAGAAACATTGTCAGCTATGCACAAACAACATGTTATCTTCATGTTCAAATGATAAACTTTACTCCCCCAAAAAGGAAACCAGCACACCTTTTGCTTACGGTAAATATGGTAAAACCGTCAAATATTCCCAATCCACAGAACAATAATTTTAGGAGGGAATGGGTGCAGGCACTTTATTTGCATCAGGTGTAGCATGTGATTCCTGCTCCAGTTCAAAGGTCACATTCACAAAAGAAGCAGTTGTTTCTGGTTGCTCAGTCTTTGGCTGCTCCTGGTTGTTCTGTTCGTCAAAACGACGTTCTGCCTCCTCAGAGAGATGGTTTTCCTCCTCTTCTTCTTCCTCCTGCAAATTGCACGTTATTAGTGTCTCACAAGGCCAAAGCTGTTCAAATACCTAAAGAGTATCTGTACATCCTACTTTTGAGAATATCAGCAGATAAAAGAAGGCTGAACAAATAGTAATACTGGTGCACATACCTCCTTCTTCATCCTGTAGTACTCATCAATTGCATACTGATATTTTGGTGTTGTGATTCCCAGCAATGAGGCCATTCTCTCTCCAAGATAGTCGCAAACTGAAATATTTGGGTTAAAATGTTACATTTTAACCATTCTCTCTCCAAGATAGTCACAAACTGAAATATTTGGGTTAAAATGTTACATTTTAACCATTTTCATAGAACCAAATGTCACTGGAAAGAGTTTCATTACCTGAGATGGTTGAGGTAGCCACTCTCCACATTTGGAACCAGACGTACGGACCCCAGGTCAACTTTGCCTATAATCAGAGATGCAAAGTGACTATAAGTTTAAGATGATAACTGAAACTACATTCATTTTTTGATGCTACTCACCGGATCCACAGTCCTTAAAGTGTTCTTTTTCTCCTGTTCTTCTTCCTCCTCTTCATCAGTACTGTACTCCTCCATGGTTTCACCACTTGCAAAGTAGATTGTTCTGCGAGGAATCTTTGGCTGCTTTTTGCCCAAATCTCCAAGTTCCACATTTTCAAAGTCTTTCACCACAGTTGAACTCTAAACCAGCAGATAAAGAACATTACACACTTTGATAGATAGATAGATAGATAGATAGATAGAACATTTCACATAAATAGATACATCAAATTTACATCATATTATAATATAATATATCGTTATTACTGTAATATAAATAACATTATATATTTGTATATTACTTGATGTCTATCAACATATCAGGTTCATAACCTCGCTAGACAACGAACAAGGAAATAGAATGACATGTTATGTCGACTGTAGTCTATAGCAAAAGAAATAATGTAATTCCAAGGCAACTGCTTATTACATTTAAAAATGACTTTACCTTCTCTGTATCCATAGTTTGTCCAAGAGACACGTTAACGTTTGTGAGGTACAGTGACAGTTCAGCCATGTCTTCTTCAGCCTTTTCTTTCAGTTGCTTTCTTCGAGCTCTTCCTTCTAGCTGCGTCAACCAGGAAGTGACGTCACATGTAAACAATTCAATTCCATTTATTTAGAGGGATCTGTCTGTCTATTTATTCATTTTTTTTTCGGGGGGTATTTAACGTAAAATACTTTACCGCACTGACAAATTTACATAAGACGTTAAATATAAATTAACATATATAAGTTACCAATTTATGTTAAAATATTCCCTGACTCCCGTCTGTTGAAAGTGAGATGAAGAGATCTGTTTTGTTTCAGTGTAACGTTAGTTTCATATGGAAGGCATTTTCTGCCGAAATTAAATAAATAAATTAAACGATAAAAAGTAAAAATAAAACAAGTTTAACCATTTCATTACAGAAAATGGTACGCAGAATATGTGACAAAATTGATAATGAAATTAAATGATTTTATTTTCATGGTGATAGTGCATCATCCCTGTCAAATTGAAAAATAAAATGCAATTGGTGATTTCACGTTTCATTTTCACTACAATCTCGAGACAAGACTGCCAATATTAAAATGAAAAGGCAAAAGTGAAAAGAAACTGCAAATACAGTTTTCAAAAAGCTTTTTTATTAACATTCATGCTATAATAGTGACAGAAATCAAATTCAAATGTAAAGTTTAGTTTTAAATTTTAATAATTTTATTTCCTCTTTTATTTCACAGTTTTGATTTTCGTTTTCATTTTCAAAGACAACCTGTATGCAAATTATATGTTAATTAGTGGGTGTGGTTCGCAACAACGCCGTTGCGTGGAGGAGGGAAAATGTCGGTTATGACCAGCGTTATGTCGGTTATGACCACGAATCCGACGAGCGTTCTTGTGTAGGCTGCCATCTTGTGGCGACGCCATTACTGAGCTGTTACACCGGCATAGACATATGCACCGGTATGTAAACAAACCTCGGAGATAAGGTGATAACGCACCCTTGATGACAGCTACAGCCAGGCAGACTTGTTGGGTTGATGATGTTAGACATTGGCCTCCAGTCACAGATGAAGGTACAAACGATCTAGGTGAGGTTGTGCAGTGCCTTCAGGCAGTAAATTGTCCGGGGAGTCTCGTTTAATGTAGGCCTACATTAAATTACAAATAAAGTGCACAATATATATTTTACATGAAAAACGCTTTGCTGACTTTTACGATGTTACTACTAAACGTGGAAATGTAACTTAACCAGTCCGTGAAAACTGAAAAGGGTCCATTTTAAATATAACGTTACGTGCAACAAGGTGAAAGCTGTTCGCTTCAGTTCCGTTACCTCATATGATGCTCTTTCATCCTCCGTCTGATGGTTCTCTCGCTCGCTCCGAATAAGTTTGCTAACGTTACCTCTTGAGCAGTAAAACCATTTAGAAGATACATCCTTAGCGTTTCTACTGGGATGTCATACCTTGGACGACCCGGGCCGACGAGACTCCCCGGACAATTTACTGCCTGAAGGCACTGCACAACCTCACCTAGATTATTAACAACTAGATGATCGACATCGGAGTTTGTGACGGCTGCAAAGTGCCCAAGTGTGTCTAAGATAGATTCAACTCGAAGCAAAATGAAGTCATCATCATCCGAAATATTTGCAAGCTGGTTTAACTCTGCTGCTATACTGGTCATAACCGACATTTTCCCTCCTCCACGCAACGGCGTTGTTGCGAACCACACCCACTCATTAACATATAATTTGCATACAGGTTGTCTTTGAAAATGAAAACGAAAATCAAAACTGTGAAATAAAAGAGGAAATAAAATGATTAAAATTTAAAACTAAACTTTACATTTGAATTTGATTTCTGTCACTATTATAGCATGAATGTTAATAAAAAAGCTTTTTGAAAACTGTATTTGCAGTTTCTTTTCACTTTTGCCTTTTCATTTTAATATTGGCAGTCTTGTCTCGAGATTGTAGTGAAAATGAAACGTGAAATCACCAATTGCATTTTATTTTTCAATTTGACAGGGATGATGCACTATCACCATGAAAATGAAATAATTTAATTTCATTATCAATTTTATCACATATTCTGCGTACCATTTTCTGTAATGAAATGGTTAAACTTGTTTTATTTTTACTTTTTATCGTTTAATTTATTTATTTAATTTCGGCAGAAAATGCCTTCCATACTATTATAGCATGAATGTTAATAAAAAAGCTTTTTGAAAACTGTATTTGCAGTTTCTTTTCACTTTTGACTTTTCATTTTAATATTGGCAGTCTTGTCTTGAGATTGTAGTGAAAATGAAACGTGAAATCACCAATTGCATTTTATTTTTCAATTTGACAGGGATGATGCACTATCACCATGAAAATGAAAATGAAAATGAAATCATTTAATTTCATTATCAATTTTATCACATATTCTGCGTACCATTTTCTGTAATGAAATGGTTAAACTTGTTTTATTTTTACTTTTTATCGTTTAATTTATTTATTTAATTTCGGCAGAAAATGCCTTCCATAGTTTCAAGCATTTAAAGTTCTCTCATTTTGTCGTTTTAGCAGTACAACCATTATGAAAAATGAAAAAAAAAAAAATCTTTATCTAGCTGAGACTGTACTGAACTATTTAGGCCACACATCATAACTTCAACTGCATAAGCACACTATTATACTTTAATTTCATGTTCGATTTTAGGCATCACATGCCACTGATCCTTATATTCTTTCACCCTTAAATTAAAATCTTTCCTTTAATCTTTTAGTTTTTCTTTTTTTTCTTTATTGTGTTAATAATAACACATGAATGATAACCTATTTGATATAACTCTTTAAAAGTCAGATTAATTGTGCAAATATGAGACTTGTTTTGTCATGCGTGATTTATATTTGACTAAGATTATAATTCTGCAGAAAACAATTATCAAGATAATTGAAGATAATTGAAGATTTCTCTCTCCTCGCCCGGATAAAGTGCAATGAAAAAAGAATGGCGTTCTGTTGTCTGCCCTCCCAGTAAAACTTGTCAGTAGTGTTTTTGAAATGACTAATAATTGAGAGCCCTATTAGTGCCACCTTTACTCAGACCTTTTTCATGTTTATTTCTGCCTTTATTTTATTATGCAGTTTTTTCCACATTTAATCAGAAGTTTAAAGCCGATTACTGCTACTACTATTTTTTTTATAATTTAATTTAGCTGTAACACAATGACAATATGGACAAACCTCTTGTCTTTATATCACAATTTTTATATTTCTCACATAGTGTTAAATGAGTCTTTGTATGTGGAAATAAATGCATTTGTATTTTTAGGAAGGGGTCAGAGGATCATCATAATTAGGGAGATCAAAAGATTTAGTTGTGTTTTTCACTACTAAATATCTATATATTATATATTTCTCATATTGCACATTTGATTCCAATGATAAAAGAGTCTGAGTAAATAAGAAAGCAAGTAGAACGTCTTCAATTCGTAAGAACTTTAATTTATACTCTGTAATTGATGTATAGATACAAATATTGACGTATGGAAATTGTCTTTTGTCATTTTTGTTATTCTGATTTCAGCCTATTTTTTCTTTTGTGTATTCTGATGACATTAAACATATTGTTAATGCATTTTGTTTATTGTATACAAAGTTGTACATAATAAACATTTCACTGTATTTTTGCAATCAATCATAAAAACTAACTAACTAAATGCAGAGCCTCGAATTACTTCTTGCGCCCTCTTTCGGCCACTCGTTGTATGGCAAAAATAAGGCATTTTCGGAAGAAACCACTGCATCCACCTAATTGACTAAAAGTGCGACAC